CCTCTTTGCGGGGAGGCGTGGGGATAAGCGTTCCAGCTGCAGTTTCCTACAGGGAAACCAGTGCGGGTTTGCCGGGCTGGTCTCAACACCATGGTAACTCCAACAGGGGTTTCCTAATCTGCCTTCCGAGTTACCCCGAGCGTCAGAGACTGCCGTGAGGCCGGGCAGCTGCCTCGATGTAGTACTGCGCTGTGCCGAGCAGCCTGTTAGCGCAAGCTGGCGTTGCCCCCTTCCCATTTTTCCATTGGGATACAGTCCTCGGCTTGCCATCACTTATCCCTTCCGTTGTACACCTGTGTGACTTCAAATTAGTTGGATCGCACCAGTGTAAAACTGAAAAAAATGCTGTTAATACTGCACTGCGGTGTCTGCTTCAAAATAGCCAGTGCGTATTTAAAAAATAGGGGTTTTGAATAACGTTTGATTTTGTTATGTACAGAACGACAGCTGTGGTACTGCAGGTGTTGGTCGACAGTTTCAGAACTCGAAGATGAAGGCTGAACAAGCTGAGAAACTTGAATTCGTAAGAACTGCAGAAAAGCTGAAAACTCAGTAAGTTAAACACTTCATCCTAAGTGTATTTTCATGCTGATGTAACATAACTCAGGGTTCAAGGTAAGATTTTGTAATAATGAAACCTTTAGGCTAAAATTTCTGGAGCTCAGGCAGATTATTGTGGTTATTACAGTATTTCAGGATAGGCTCATGAGCTCCAAAATGCCCTGTTTTTCTGATTACCATTTGGACTTTGGTCAGTCATCTTCTTTAGTAAGCTACAGCTGCACTAGATGCAAAAAAAAAAATAAAGTGCATGTGGCAAAACTGACGTCTCAGTTTTCCTACTCAGCTATGCTTACCCTTCTAAGAACCTAAAGCCTTTAAGACATACAAAAAGGGACATGCAGCATTACAACAGCTTCCTCAGAGAAGACTGAAAGCACTTCATCTGGAATATCTAGGCCACTGCTTTGGAAAATGGGTTCAAGACAGCTCAGGCACAGAAGTGATTTAAATCTCTTAAATGAGTAAGTGCTGTAACAACTACACCGGCGTCTGAAACGACAGGGTTTTTTCTCGAACAGATGAGCTTTATGAGGAAGAGCTGATGTAGCCCCCCAGCTGAAGGAGGGGTTTGTAGTTGTGAATCCTGAAGAGTGACAGATCTCACAGCCATGCTGTATGCTGACTGAATCAGCTCCTCCTCAGTTATTCTGGATCCTGGGTTATCGCTCAAAAATTGACTGCTGTGTCATGTAGATGTCCTAAGCAGCTTCAAACAAGGCATGCCATTTAACTACGGCACACTGTCCTTCTGTAGTGCTCTGTAGGCCTCTAGTGCACTCTTTGGGGAGGTTTGGTACTTGGGTCTACTCTGTGAATTCTGGTGGACAGCAAAGCACCGAATAGGGGTTTGAGCCACATAGCAGCAACAGTCTGCTGAAGAACCAAGCGGCTACTGAGAGAGACAAGAGTTTCTTGGGCTGAGAATAGTGCTGCTGAATGTCAGGAGTCCTACCAGATGTCTCGGTACGGTGTGGCACCACTGTCCCACCGTTCTGATCTCTAAGGTGGTGGCACTAAACGTCACAGGCCTGCTCAGGACTGCAGCACCTGCAGTCCTTTTGCACGTGCTGTTGTGTAGGTCAAGCCCTAGAATACTGCCTGGTTGTAGTGAGGCAAAGCACATCCCACTCTGAGGTGTACTCTAAAGCTTCTGGCCCTAGTAAGAAAGCAGAAGTCACCTATAGCTCTCTGTACTATACATAAGGCGTGGTCAATAAGGTAGCAGCTTTAATGTCTTACTTAAATGCTGATGAACTTGATGTAGTTGTAGTACTACTATTACTGGTGTTAAGGCTGAGAGAGGGTAGTTGCTTTGTCTGTCCTGGGGCTCCACCTATGTGTGCAGCTGCGTTAATACAGCCTGTCTGAGCCCCTGCGCTTTCCAGTGAACATTCTCACGAGGCTCCCTGATCGTGAGCATACAGATAAAACTTCAGACCAGTTCAGTGCGTGAAGAGCCACTGTCTGTCAAAGAGGTATTTTCCGTGTTAACTTCTTCCGCTTGTTCAAGTTCTTGGGTTACTGTGGTGTGTAGTCTAATCCTGAAGAAAGATTTTCCTTGAATACCGCTGTAGGAACAAACTAGTGATCTGTATAAAACCACAGAATCACAGAATGGTTTGGGTTGGAAGGGACCTTAAAGACCACCTAGTTCCACCCCCCCTGCCATGGGCAGGGACACCTTCCACTAGACCAGGTTGCTCAAAGCCACATCCAGCCTGGCCTTGAACACTTCCAGGGATGGGGCATCCACAGCTTCTCTGGGCAACCTGTGCCAGTGCCTCCCCACCCTCTGCGTGAAGAACTTCTTCCTGATATCTAATCTAAACCTCCCCACTTTCAATTTAAAATCTGAGACTGTCTTGCTGACACAGCCTCAGCTGGACACTAACCTTGGGAAGTCTTGGGGCTTTGCTAAGGATTCGTGGCTTACTAAGAATGGCAACTTTTTTTCCAGGCTTGCAAATATAGAAAAAGACAAAAATGGACCTCTTTACAATAGGAGGAGTCATTTCAGGGTAGAATACAGCATACTAGAGGAACTGGAAGAGAGCATGACTGAAAAAAAGAAAGTAAGTGGGGTTATATTTGGGGTTTTGACTACTGTTGTTTAAATGCTTTAATAACCAGCAGTGCAGAGGTTAGCTGAGGCAGAAGGTAGATGTCGATAAAAGTGTGGTATTTCACACTGCTGTCTGCTGCTTATGAAGAGTACTTCCACAATTCACTTGCAAAATGTTTATGCTTTTGAATTTTGTGCTTTCTGGGTTATTAACTGTATTCTTTTAATCTTGAATGTACCAGATACACTCACAACTTTGGTGAAAAGTTATTGTTATAGAAACTTAGAATTAATTTTATGTGTGTATTGCAAAATCTAGCAATAGTAGATTGTAGTCTAGCTATGGTAAAATCAATATATACTTACCACAGCTTAAGTATTCACACATGGATTGCTGCCTTTAAATATACTTCTAAGCAGTTCTGTGTTTGCACTTTTCAAATTTGTGAATAATGCATATTCATAGTCTAAATTGTGAGGTGAGATGGTACACAGTCTGTCCTACAACGTCTGTTTCACTTACAGACTGATTAAATAATTCAGGAAAAAAAGTGTCACAGTACCTAGATTGTTTCAAAAGTAGTCAAATCATGCTTTGCCTTCTGATACAGAAGATCAAAACAAATAAGTGGAAGAAGGGAAAGGACACACAGAGACAACCAAAAATACAATTACCTTAGAAATTTCTATGTGTGTTAATGTGCACATTAAACCATGGTCTTTACATCTTGCAGTCCTTAAGAAATGTAAATGTTTCCATGGAATGACTAGTCTAAAAAGTTCCAAAAAATTTGCAGGGGTGAGAAGGGACGATGGAAGTATGGATGGAGATACTGTTGTGAGATAACAAAGAGGACAAAGATGAGGGGTGTAAGGCACTGCATGTGAGATGTGAAGAAGCATTAAGAGTATGATCTTTTAGGATGTGTATTAGAACCCCCAAAATTCGCATTTACTATGTTGAGGTCTTTCAGCATCATACATGTGCTTGTTCACTTTCTTTGGACCCGGCAGAACTAGTGAAGTCATGCCTTAGCTACATTTTTTTTTTTTGACATTTAGGTCCTCCACTCTGTTATCCCTTCCTTAAACCAAATCTTCTAGGATAGAAGCTACAGCTCCTTAGTACCTCAGATGTGTCCAGAACCTCATCCTCATCAGTACTGTGTTTATGGTCTCATGAGGAGCCAAGTGGTAATAAAGCACATTGAGTGCATGCATGCTTGGAGTACATGAGAACACTGGCCCTGCTGTAGTTCACATAGCAAATAAGTAAGTCTCGTTGAAGTAGTATGTTCACGTACGCTTTCCAAGTTTCTTCACTGCTGAGTGGTTTCAGGCCTAGGCCAGAGTCTCCCTCAAAATTCAGAGGTGTCGTCTGTGTAGGTAATATTCTTCAAACTCTGTCTACCTGATAAAAGGTTTGGAAAAAACCCACAACTGAATTAATCTAAATATGAGTATCTTGTTGACCCCCTTTAGAACTAGGATCCACCCATTTTAAAGTCTCTTGACGCTGTGTGGGGAGGTACATTGCCCGTGCAGTCACCTACATGCAGGTACAGTCATGTTAAAATGCATAGTATTACGGCAGTTTCTTATGGTCAAACAGAATGTGCGTGCCCGCTCAGATGAAATCTCCGGTTTATTCTGGACACTTTGTTGCTCTTGTGTTGAATTTAATGCACAAAGAAACTGTTGGAACCATAAGCACCTTATTTTGTTTAACAGAAGCTAAAATTCTGCAGCAGCTCTCAAAAATACGAAATAATGTGAAGAGACTTCAGCAACAATTGAAAGATGTGAAGCCTACACCAGAATGTAAGTCATGACTACAGATTTCAAAACATTTTCCCCTCTGGACAGGTTTTTCCCATAGTCGGACTTGTGATTCTGTGCGGACTTGTGATTCTGTGCGGACTTCTGAAACTCGTTCTTGGGAAACTGTCTGCTTTCCCAGGAATTTGGGAAGAATTCGTAAGTGTAAGAAATGGTGAAAGATGGTGCAATTCTGTGTGGAAACAGAGAAACTTGCTCTGTCTCAGAAGTGGTGTGGGTTTGTTTATTTAGGCTGTTAAAGCCAGGAAATTCCTCCCTGTAACTCTCGGCCTTATGTAAAACGAAGTCAGTATTCTGGTGATATATTCTGGTATCCGTTTAGATACAGCTCCCTTTCATGTGGAAGGTGGTCACAGAGTAGGGTCTACAAGGAACTTATTTCTAGCCATCCACATAGCCTGGAGTGCAAGTTGGAATATTTTGTGGAACGTGGTGAAACAACTCCATCAGGTGGGATGTCTGAACCTTTTGGGAAAAAGGCACTGAAAGAACCATTCTCCTGTGATACTCTGCCACCTCGTGTGGAGCTCAGGTCGAAGCACTCCCACTAGCCGAGGGCTTTCTGATGCTGGGTAAAATGCATCTCACTCCGTTTAGTCAGTGGCTGTTGTATAAAAAATGCATGATCTTCTCAAGCTGCTAGCAAATTACCAAGAACGAATGGGCCTGAAAGCTGAACTAAAGCGTTTTAGATGACGTAACTGCACCAATTCAGTTCAGTATTTGCCCAGAGATACACTGTGCTGGTTTAAAACAGATTGTAAAACTTCTCTACCATTGCAAAATAGATCTTGCCTAGACAGCTGTCTTACTGCCTTTCTCCCTATCAGGACTATGGCGTGCTGACAGTACAGGATCAAGTCGTGCTTTGGTGCTTCTTCGTCAGCTTTGTAAAGGTAGAGACCTGTAGGCTAAAGAGGATCACTACAACCAAAGATTTGAGTATGATTAAGTCACTAACTGCATTGTTACAATAAACAGGAATGGAAACTCTGTAGGATAAGGCTGTCTGGTTCTGTCAAATCAGTTGAAGGTTACTCAATGAGAATGAGAATGAGACTCATTTAATAGAAATAAACATTTATACTGGGACTTGTATCCAGTTAGCTAAACCACTGTGAAATCACACCTTTTGACTAAATCAGAGTCTACCTTTCAAGGCTGTTTGAGGTGGAAATGCATGCGTTTTTGTGTACTGATACAAGTGTTCCAGAAGTCTGCAAGTGCTTACATTTCTGGATAGTGCTGAATCACTGGTAAATACTGTAGACTTCTTAAGTTATACACTCTTTTCTTCTTTTCCTTTTCAGTTGTTGACAAGCTGAAGGAAATGATGGAAGAAGTTGAAAATGCAGTCAATGCTTTTAAAGAGGAACAGAGGCAAATGTATGTTTATACATGCTTTAGCTACAAGTGCTTTCATAGGACACAGTGAAAACTGCATGAATCAAGTAAACTGATCTTTGATGAAAAGGCTTTTCAGAGAAAGGCTGCAGAAGAGATTAGATTGTGGGGTTTTTGTTGTTGCTGTTGTTTCATTTTTTAAGTGTGTGTGGTTTTTTTTCCCCTTTCTACTGGTGTCAGAAGGGGATTGAGTTAGTTGTTTTGAGTGCCATACATGTGTGCTTTCACTAAAAGGGTAACTTAATTCATACTGTGTAGTGCTTTATTATGGGATCATTACAGCTGTGCTGTAATCTGTGTTACCATTTCAGTTCTTAATCTTTGAAGAATAGCTTTTGTGTGGTACTGAACAATTCCAAAATTCATTTTCGGTGAATAAACAATGGATACTGGAAATTTTTTTCTTACATTTCAGTGTTTGTTCTCTTTTCAGATATGAACAGCTTTTGAAGGAGGAAAAAACTGCCATTAACGAGCTCCGTGTCTTTGAGAGAAAAGTGGAAAGGTGGGCATTAGACAGCCAAACAACAGAAAAAGTGTTGAAATTACCATCATCCAGGGGCTCAGTTGATAAAACACTGGAAAATCATCTACCTGAAGGAGTAACAGAGTTTGAAAGATTTCTTCAGCGAACAGGAGGGCGGCAAGGCGGCTGGGATGATTATGATCACCAAAGTTTTCTGAAAGTATGGACAAAACACAAAGGAAGGGTGTCTTATGTGGATGAAGCCCTTGAGTATCTCTGTGGAAGAACAAAAGAAGAAATTGAACAGCATGGCAAATGGTATCAAGAATTTCTAATTTTACATGAAAGAAAGAAAGAGGTAAAATAATCCTTCTGGGACTTCTGTAGCTGTAAGAAAAAGTACTTATTTTTAAAATGCATCCATTTCTTAATTTCGTGTTTGCCTCTCTTGTGGTAGACCTAGGTGGATTTCTGTTATAGCTGATGGTATATAACTGAAACCTTTGGCATCCACAGTTTGCCAAAAATCTTTGTCCTCAAGAATTACCAATAATTGTAGACCTCACACCACACTGAAGGTCCCTAATAGTGTCTGTTCCACCACAAAGGCAATACACCTATGCCACACTGACACATAGAATTGTGATTCCTTCAAGAGCTAACCATCTGAGTAATAAAAGATACACTGACATAAAAACTGAATTATAAAATAGTAGGTGGATTTACTAAACTGAATAAAAATAGTAAGACGAGAAATATGTTTGCCTTAAAAAAAGCATTTAAAGCACCAACATTCGTAACTACCCAAAGTTAATGTGAATACCATAACTTAAATGATTTTAGCAGGCACGTATTAAACCTGCCTGTGTGATCTGTAAGAAAATGGTGAGAAAGCAGACGTAGGTGCTTACTCGCCTTAAATTTTGCCTTTATTGGACTTTCCATTCCTATCTGCAGTTTGTATCCTCAGAGCATGTTCTCATCAGACCAAATCAACGGGAATGCGAAAATTGTCATGAAAACCTTTTTTTCCCTCCCTTACTATTCTCTTGCAGTCAATTAAGAAGTGGAAAGAGAAGCAGCAGCAAGAAAAAGAAAGAACCTTGAAGGAGAAAGAGAAATCAGAAAAAATGCTCAAGGAAGAACAGCTACAGCGTGAAGAAGCGAAGAGGCAAAAGACAGGAGAAGAAAGAAAAAGGCAGCAAGCAGCAATTGAAGCATGGAAGAAGCAGAGAGCAGTAACATTTGCAAGGGAGCAAGCATCACAACTGAAACTGGAAGAAGAGAAGGAGAAAAAGCAACAAAAAGAACAGCAGCGGCAGTGGCACATGAAGTTACTGTTGGAAAGGTATACCTTGCAGAAGAAAGAAAAGGAGGAACTTGAAAAGCTTGAAGAGGAGAAGAGAAAGGAAGCTGAAAAGGCGGAACGGAAGAGAACCGCTGCGCAGGAAATTACCAGGTTTCAGGAGCGTGTGCGTAATTATGTCTCCATTTATGCGTGTTGTGTTGTTTTTTAAATGCCTATTTCACCCCCCAGTGAAATCTGTTAAACACTTGTTAAAATCCAAGTTTCACTCACTTAAATCTGGTTTTGATTCACTACGAATAACAGCATGTTGCATACGAGAAACAATATGAAACTTTATTTTAGACAAGTATGTTCCTTCTCCTCAACATCTCAGTTCTCCGGGGTTATTCAAGGCTGTGTATCGTCCTGCATAGAGAAGTGGTTTTATTTACTTCAGCGTGGAAATGTTCGGGAAAAACAGCTTGGGCAGTGTTGCCCTCCCGAGATGTCAGAAGACCTGATGGTTGTGTGCAGATAGGAAACAAAAGGAGGTGTTAGAATATCCTCCAGGTTTCAGTAGCTGTAAGGTCACTTTAGATCCTGTTTTGATGCAAAACTGATTATGGGAGAAATCACATTCTTGTCAGCATTCACACTACAGTTCATTTTTATAAACAGAGTTTAAACTGCTACAATTATTATTTTTTCCCCCAAAACTGTGTAACTATAATGTTTGTGCAGCACAAGCTATAGCAAGTAGCTACCTAGCATAACTTTATTCTGTACTGAGACAAAATAATTGAAAAAAAACCAAAAAAGCCTATGAAAAGGCTGCCTCTATATTTTCATACAATCCGTTTCACTTCCAAACGAAAGTTTGCTTTTCCATTCATTATGTGTTTCAGGACCTACATAAACTGGAGCTGAGGATTCTACAAAAACAAGCTAAAGAGCTAGAGAAACGAGAAAAAGAAAAAAGGCTGGCAAAGTTAAGAGAGAAGGTAACTCACCTTTTTTGCTTTGTTTTAATCTGGGGTGTGTGCGGTTTGGTTATGAAAACTATATTCTTCCTTACTGATCAAAAAAGCAATTTTTACTTACTTAAATGGCTTATGAAGAAAAAAAAAAAAAGATAAGTCATGCTTGTTATCAGGATACAGAAATGCAGTAGGGATAGTTCATGTTTAAAAAAAGGTAAGAGAGAATTTGTTCACCTCCCAGCAATACTTACCCTGGGTAAAGCCTGTAGCTCGTGCAAAGTAGCTGCAATACAAGTGGTGTTTTTTAATTTTTAAATGGTTTTCTACCATTAGTTAAATAAGTAGGCTGGCTTCAGAACAAAAAAGGGGAATATTGTCCGGATGCTTAAGCGTTTATCCTCTTAAATGACTACATCAGTTGCTGCCCCTCTTAGCGATTTCACGTTTCTGCCATTTCCTGCGGCAGCGTGGAAGGAAAAGTCACTTTCTGGCCAGCCAGCCAGCTTCACTCCGCACCCACCGGTACGGTGAAGAGCTAACAAGCGTACGTAGATCGTTCTGCCCTCAGACAGAAAGACCCAGTTTTTTGTTTTCGTTCGCTTTTCTCTCCGAGGTGGAGACGCACGTCCGCAGAGACCCGTCCAGGCTGCGCAGACCTACCAGGGGCTGGGAGGAACGCACCAGGGACATCGCACCCACAGCGCCAGAACCGCCTTTACGCATTCCTCACCGGTAAGGAGGAGGGCGGGGGACGCGTAGCGTGACCCAAGTGCAGTTGTACGTGAGCTCTTTATGCTTTTTTTCCCCTGTTTTTAGAGCTATCCCAGCCTGGAGACAAGGGTTGTAGAGGACCATATACAACCATCTACATCTGTCGCGGGACGGTGACTCTCCAGCACTCCCAGGACTCGACACCAAACTGCCCTGACCCAATGACGTATATTACCTTTGGAATTCCCCACTCTCGGGTCTGTCAGCTGTGGGACGGGCGGGGCGAGCGCCTTTCCGGGCTGGCAGCCCAACAC